TATTGATTGTCTGCACTTGTATGCACCAGAAAAACTCCTCCTAGTGAACTAAAATAGTATATGCTTCATCGCTAATGAAACTCCACTATCAGTCAAGTTTATAACTTCTCAGTGACATATGTTATGAAATGGGTTAAAAACGATTAAGTGGGTAAATACCGAAACATTCGGCAGCCTTATTTCCGGGCCCCATGCTCTGATTAACCTGGTTTTCTATTCCGCTCATTTGGTTTGCTAAACAGTGGCATCTGTTTCCCAGTGGTCTAATCCATTATCCTCTTAGTTGCGACTGGTTCGCTTTACTGGACATGTGTACTTTGGAGAACCTTTTCCTTTTTCATCTTTACTTTCTTTATTGAATATGTAATTTTCAGGACTCGGGGGAGAGGCTAATAAAAGGGCACCATAAACCACTTAATAAGGAAGGCCAGATGATGGTGGTGCAATTCAAAGACGTCCTCCGGAGTGGTAATCCAGTGAGGTTACCACTGCCAAAGTTTATTAACTTTTAATCCGATATTGTCAGGATGAAATACACCAATCGAACACACCGGGTGATCGTGAGAAATAATTGATTTATGCCCTGTGATTTAACATAGTTCAGTGGTGTGCTTTACTTCTCAAAGGAAAAAGAGAACATCAATCATTTTGCCTGACTCCATCGCATAAACATGATCGAACTGAAGGTAAACAGAATTACATGAAAACCCACTGCCCTACTTATTTATCCCGTAGATTCAGCTCAGATCAACAAACAAATTCGGCTCCAAAACCTCACCTTGACAACCATCGAACTAACACCCAAACACCGTCAGGGAAACGTGTCGGTCCGAACTCCCGTTTTTACTCCGCTAATAAACAAACAAGCTAGATGTGATCACTGTCATCCTATATGGTTCTTCGTTGTTGTCTTTCTCGTATCGTTACGTCCTTGCAAAATCTATTGTGAATTTCATTATCTTTTAGAGAAGTCCCGATCTTTCACTCAACTACATTCTCCAAGTTTTCATACGCGATGTAGGACGATTTGCTCATCCATTCAAGTTTAGGCTGTTCAGTGGAATTGATTCTTCATTTTCATCACTTAGGACCACACTGTGCCATCCATGAAAATCTCGTTTGTAACTCTTCAATGTATGTTGTCCACACGATTGGTTAAATGGATGCGTACCTGTGAGTCGATGAATGTTTAATATTACCCTCACCTTTTTCTACCCCAGCGTTCTGTCTGCTATGGAACATCGAATGAGGAAAGTGTAACCTTCATATTGAGACCACACCGAATTCGTGTCAAAAACAAACTAGAAAGTCACGCGCGAAGCGTTTTTAACGCTTAAATCGGTGCTAATTAGGAAACATAGTGAAGTGCATTGAACCCAGGATCAAACAATGCAGTTCTCATATCCCAAAGTGGGAACCCGAAAAATCAAGTATTGTTGATTCTTTGGCGGTGAAGTATTCTGGCTAGTGTACCATTCCCATCCTTTCGAAACCGTAAATTTTTTAATTCTTTTATTGGCGTTGTTAGTCAATCCTTTAGAAGTGATTGAAAATAAACTTAACGAATGACCAGCAGTACTTGGGGGCAGATAGTGCGGTGTGATCTCAACTGTTTGGGGTTGAGGAAAGACAGCTGGGACAGAAGTTGGGTGGGGTATTGTCTAAATGAAGTTGTGTGGTGTAGACGGAAAGGTAATCTTGTTAGCCTCATCTATAACGTTACCCACATACTGACCGGCGAAACAGATTTACCGGATGTACAGCTAAATCAAGAGGGAGAGTTGTTCTACTGATTGGATAGTATGCATTTACTACAGCTGGTAGGAACACTGGAGTCTACTCCTCTCGTCTCATTATTTTTCATCAACAATACGCATATATATTATTGATGCACTTTTGACATTGATTTTTTAATCACTGCATACATGGATATGATATCGATTTCAAGACCTACATGATACCAAAACACTGGGCGTTGTCCTCATGATCCATTAGACTGAATCATCCCTTACAAGTCACTGTCTGCACGCGAAGAGGAGCCAAGAGTCTCAAGGGGAACTCCAGACCACTGGTTTTTTTAACAAGCGAGCACCAACGGGCTTGTAGTCCCAAAGAGGTAATAGTGTGATTGGGTAAGGCTGAACGAAAGAGCGATCGACTGTTGGATTTCGAGCCAATTCTGGATGCGAAATGGTTTACGGTTCTAGTCATGATCAGAAATCAATCTTCGTGTACCTTGCACTACCCACCTCGTCTACATGCTCGTACCTGGGTGTGTTACTTTCTTTGGTTAAGGCCAGTTACTGTTGCTCAAGCTTTTATGCTCCATGGGTTTCTTGAATCACCGTGGTATTATGTTGCCCATTCATCAAAACAACTGGAGGACCAGATTCTCTGAAGCGTACTTTTAATGCGCAATTGGGACACGCCCAAAGCGTGATTAACACAATAGCAGTAGACCGTGTCTGAAATAGATATCACGTGATTGATCCGCTCTTTCTTCATCCACACGACATGCAAGGACACCTCAACGGATCCACGTGACACGTTAAATAATATTTAATTGCGTACGGCTGATAGGACAGAATAAACGCTTTAGAACAACAGATACATGACAATCACAATACTGCGATAGTGTGTTGGATTATGACAAACTGATTTATTCACACGGCATCGAATTCTGACCGCTTATCACAAGAGTGTGCCTGTTGTGAGAGAACCGAAGACACGTCTATGAATGGTGTTGTTATCCAGACCGAATTTGTCCGACTGTCAGCTGGTTCTGTATTACAGGTTTTGTATCGCGTTCTAATCTTTTTTTGATGCCAACAATTTGGTACCATGTTCCACCACGCGACACCAAAATTAGCTTCTCCTTCGAAGATCAAGGGCTTAGTTGATATCAGGGTCATGCACTTTTACCGTAATCTCCCAGATACTGAATATGCGACCTTGACAGAAGCATTCACAAGCAGTGCAACAAGGGGTGGTTTTAAAAAATTATGCCTCCTAGAGATCAATTATTTTTGAAATACCGAAGACTGCTTTTCCAACCTTTTATTTGCTGACAAACTTCAATCAAAAGACAAATCATTGATGGAATTTCATAAGAGGATCAAAAGTTTTGAATGCTCCCTGTGCCGCAATCGACAATATCCGACGAGCTTAAACTAACAGACGAGTTCACCTGCTCATAAGTCTTGGTTAGGTGAGCTGACTTTCACTCGACCTGTGGTTCATGATTGCGATTAGTGGATGGGCGGAAAGCGATATAAACAATGGTGTAGAAGTGATTTCAACCTAATTGTGAATGTTGTAACGATACAATCCGTCTCAATGACGGCTTAGGTATCTAAGAGTTATGATTCCCCGTTCCCTTTGAGCTAGTAGTCTTGTTAGCGCAAACTTGACGGAATACGGCAACTCTTGGGGACAGTGTAGTTCAACAGAGCCCTATATGGTTCACATCTGAGCACATGGGGGTGTATTACAAACCCACCGTGGTGATTTTTATTATTGCTAATGTTTCCTGTTATTTATATCGTTTCTTTTTTTCTGATTAAATGCGAATGAGAATACCAGTATCATTTATCGAAATATTGTCATACTATTTACCGTTGAGGTTATTCTGTTATGCAATTTTAAACAAATATGTCTATGTTCGGTTCCTATTCTGTCGTGCTTTACCCTTTGGGTTAATTGGCAGCATACAATTTACCGTAGGAGGAAGTAATAATACTAGGCAATATAGTTACTCTTAGTTTTAATCCAAGACAGATTGATCGCTGAGAGCACGAAATTTGTCAGTTCGTTGAGTGGTTCGGGAAGATCATAGCCATATGGAGGTTCCTTTGCTTAGATCATGTCTCTTATTCAAAATCCGGTGAAAACCGACCAAAAACCAAAATAATCATTGGACAAAAGTTGAAGTTTTTATTTCGTTCACACAATTGCCCACATCTCCAACTCTACAAGTTTGGTCTCAAGGTAATAATGATTAGCCGTATACAAAACTGACATTGAAAAAACAAAACCACATGCGAACGTGAACAGATTGGCAATTTTTCACCGTTTAAGCATTGCTGACGTTTTGGTAACAGTCTAAATTATTGGAAATGTATGCTTTTATTCCTATCACTCTGCAGGAACAGAGCATTCAAACCGAACGTTCGCATGATCGACGAATCTCAGGTACTCAAACGGGCTCTCGCCGATCGAAGTAGAATGCGAGGAGTGACAGGGGATGCGCACACAGCGGATGAACCCAGTAGTACGCTGCTCCGAACTCTCCCGGTATCAAATGGCAGACGTAAAAAAAACCCTCGTTCAGAGGACTCTGGAGGCGCGTGGGTACGAACCTCGGGATTGAACAATATAAACGAACGAATGAAGAATCACACTCCAACCAAATCTAGTGGTTGTGGCAGTGACGCTGGTGTCAATGCGTTGACCTCATGTCATCACATGCGTGGCGAGAGTTATCGACTGGCACGTTTCCGGACTCATTCCCCTCACAGAACGTGGTCAGACCGATCTCCAGTCCACCCGAGCATTCCTATACGTGGGCAAAACGTATTATTACATCCGGTAAACGTGAAATCGGACAGTGACTTGATCTGTGAGGAACACAAATGGTCATAAATACAGAGAAAACACGCGGCCAGTTCACAAACTGAAAAAAATTTCGGAAAAACAAATTAAAAATGTGATATCTTAACTTCTCAGATCGAGATTCAGGAACCGTACTCAGTGACCCCGATAACTTTCCTTAATCCCCCGGAGCCCACCCATATCGTGTTCCCCTCTAGTCCCCTGGCAATCTAATCAAAATGGAAAAAGACTATTTTTAAATCTGTGAATCGCACAATATGATTATAATTGACTTGTGTTTATTTTCACATGTTTTCTCGTTGTATTTTGTTATCTTTATGATTATCATAAGCGATGAACCGTGTATACACAACAATGGTTTATTCCGTCTTTTCGGAGCAATGGGAATCTCAAACCGATAGGGAAGTGGATCTGGCATTCAGGAGTTTGATAGAGTCGACCAACTCTTTGATCTCTGCAGTTTCTTGCTTAATCAAACAGGAAACCTGTCGTAACTCGGTTTCCGTGTCTTCCCCACCAGGACTAAAAATAGCCTGTAACTCGGACGATGCATTTCGAACGGTCTCGGGTCGTGTGACTTGCAAACGAGCCAGACGCTCATCCAACAACGCTTGACGAGTACGAAGGCTGGTGAACCATTTCTGTAAACCTTTACGTAAACGATCCCGCACGGCAATCACCTCATCGTGCATGCCCACATCCACTTTGGTCGGTCCGTTGCATAAACCTGACACAAAATGGAAATCAAATGCACACATTAAGTTAGCTACAAGTCAATATACCATCCTGACAATAAGGTGAGCACTTTATTCTGAAGAAAAGAAAATCTGACACTCATAATTGAGAAACAACACCTTCTCTCTTCAGCTGAAGTACAGACCTTCAAATGGGAACAGAATTGAGGGTTTTTATTTGTATTCAAGGGTATAATCGTACTAGTAATGGTTTGGAATTGATAAAACGATTGTTGCACATTGTGAGGGAACCGCCTTAAGTATATTTTTTAAACAGACGAAACGGGTGACGAGCACGCTGTCACAAACATCATAAGACTGGTTCATCACTGGTCACGCAAAGGTGTAGTATATACTAAGAAGTTAAGTGATCGCGACGTATGTTAAACACCGGAAAACTGTTTCTTGTCACATCTAATGAGCTCGTTCGGTTGGTTTCCGCGGCGGGAAAACATCATCACACAGAAATATCATGAGAACCACTCAGTACTCCACGGAAAGAACGGTAAATAAGCTTTTATTATAGGTAAAAGGACAGGCAGTTGGGAGCACCTGAAATGCAAGACAGAGAACCAGTGGTCTCAAACAAGGCCCATAAAGGGAGGCCGACAGTTCAGTTACCGTCTTCTAGGATAGGGCTGAATTAGAACCCGGGGCTTGAGGGATTGGAGTGAACGCGGTTAAAACCATCAGTCAGTTCCGCTTTTGCAACCATGCAACTGGATGTGGTGGTTTTGGTTGTTGTCTTTTGGCTGCCCATTTCGATTAAATAGTAGAGGGAAAATCGGAATGCCGACGATAGTGTCAAAAAGCAAATAGAGAATTCGGGTAGAATAAAGTTGCAAACAGAGAGAACATACACAATGCCAACCAAAAGTCCGGGGACAATGTGGATCAAACTAATTCCTTCGTGGCCGGAACTAACAAGCTATCACATCCGCTTCCAAGAGAGGCCTTCTGATACTGCAACGTTCTTATTCATCCTTTTAACTTTCATTAACATACCAGATTTCATGGCCGATCATTTCGATCAAACCGCCATTCTCTATCACAGTAAAAACTCCCCTCATTCAACATTCACATTGTCTTCACTCTGACGGGACTACTACCGGATTTTCATGTCTGACTACCGAAAGTCTCTCAAGGCTTTGGTTTACTCCCACATATTACCTACCTTCATCGATGTCCTTTCCGCAAACTCTAGTCCGTATTGTGTGTATTCTGTATAACTTTTGCAAGCACTGGAGCTCACATTTCAGGTAAAAATCATACACACTATAACAACATAAGCCTTAACAGATGACGCCACACAGTGTTGTTCTCTTCTCGTTCTGGTACCGCCACAAGCAGAATCCAGTATGTATCGCACTTATTTCTACTCTAAACTAATCTTACATCGGAGCTGGGTTCTTCCTACGCTAGCGAAATTCCTCCTACATTGACTTACCTTGAAAGGAAATCTCTTCCCTCTCACTTCTTGGTACTTTTCGACCCAAACTTTCCCAGTTCCACTGACCCGTCCAACTTATTGAGACTATCTTCTTTTATCAAGTGTCTCGAGGGCTGATCGAAGACCGTCAACCAACAGATGGGAAAGTAAGGCAAAGTAGGACAAACGGTGGGCAACCTAAACGGCCCAACCACGGTTGCCCTCGCCCAATTGAGGACAATAGAGTGCCCATATGACGAGCTGTTTTGTACCCAATCATAGTTAACCTAAACAGACCGAGGGTATTTTCATCACACACGACGGCAAGACGCACTGCAGAATGGATTGACAGCTTAGTCAGAATAGCCGCTGACGGGTCGAATAACAAACAACTGGACAACTGGTGAACAGCATAAGAAAGAATCCATGCCAAATTAGGTTGGGGTAAAAAAAAATCTATTTTGAAATGAAACGTTACCGTCTAATAATTTTTTTAATTTCGACCGGCTAACCGCCTAAATACACCAGTAAGGCGTGTCAAACGTCTAACCAAAGAAACCAGGTGTCGATAACATGGGTCTCTCAGGAACACATAACAACAGAGAGTGGCTGCTGTTTAACGGCAATTATCGTTCGCCTATTGTCTCGTGAGGACTCTTATGCAGGTGGGTCAACAGGCGTCTTGCGCGTACAATGCAGTCTCTAGAAATCGATGTCTGTTGCGTATCGGAGACACGAATTCAGGATCCTAGTATTATAAGCCACCTGAGTGCGCCGGGTCTATCCTTCGCACATCAGGAGACGACACAGCCCGATAACTGGGTC